AAATCAAACCCGACCCGTCATCCTTCCAAATCGGGTCTGGGGGGCAAGTTGTTTGGGTCCAATTTAGTCCAATTGGGCCTAGGCATTAAATGATCCAATTAAAAGCCCAAGGTCAAGGTTCAACTCTCCAATTGTGCTAAAGTCAAAGGTCAGCCCTCAAAGCAAGCCAATTGGGCTAAGGCCCAACCTCTCCATGTATGAAGAGGTATAAAAGCCATCAATATTCATACATTCACATTGATTCATTGATTGATACATTCTCATATATTCTCATATATTCAAGCAAAGCCTCAAGCAACTAATTCTCTTGCATAGTGTTCTCTTTCTACACATTGTACTGACTTTAGCATCGGAGGGGCCTTCCTCGGCAACACCCCCGAGGCTAGTTTACGTGTGTTTACTGTGCAGGAAACCTTCGGCCCAACATAACTTGGACCGAATCCAGTCTTCTCCGTTTCAGCGGACCTTCGGCAAGGTCCCATTGTTTTCACCCGAAACAATATGCATGTTTGTTTTTCATCATACCTATTATGCACCCAATAAGAATGAGTAGAAACAATAGAATACAATTACGCAAATGAAAATCATGTTGTTATGATTCATCTTCATTTTTAGGTTTTGGAAGCTTATACAAAGAAGGAATTAACATATTTTTGGGATAAAGAGTGAAAATAATAGCAAGTGAAGTGTGTATGTATTTTAGAAAGAAACTTTTAAAAAAATATATATTAATAATAACAAGATCTCATCATAATATTTTCACTTGCATAGATTCACATTCTACGTGATATCACTATTAGGCACCATATATTGCAGAATTATATGATTAGATGGATCGTCCATGGTTTATAGAGGATATAAGAAGGCAAACCATATTTAATGAAAATGTGTTTGATGTCAAAATGTTGGCAAAAACTAAACTCAATTTAAATTTCTTCCTGATATTTTACAATTATTATCTTAATAACATTATATGGTAGAGTTTACAATGGCGTAAACATGGCTACCTTATAGGTATTCGTTGTTGGATTACTTTAAAAATGTCAAATAAAAACTTCTTAAAGTATTAAAGAATTCTATTTTAAAGTTTTAGGTGAAGAAACGGTAAGAAAATGTTGGCTTATAAATTTTCTACTTTTGGCAAGGTACATTATCTTAGAGCCTTATTTACAAAGCTTGTTTTGGATTAAATTGCCAAAACCTCCAAAAGTTCTTTTGGCAAGGTACATTATCTTAGAGGCTTATTTACAAAGCTTGTTTTGGATTGAATTGCCAAAACCTCAAGGTTTCCCTATTTATAGATGTCCAAAAGGCATCTAGATTGTTCCCCACATAGTGGAGAATGTACCTAGCCAAAATCAACTAATCTAGAAAATGATACATGTGTTATACATGAACTTTCCCATTTACAAAGTGGTGCATTTATGAAGAGTTCCAAGGTCTTTAGCGCCATTTGACCATTGGAAACTAGAATTCATCTCCTTTTTTTTTTTTTTTTGGTATTTTCGAAATCCCACTCTCTTGTGAGCTTCTTTGTTTTCCCTGTTTTGTGCACCTGCACTTGTCAAGCCAAGTATTTTGCTAATTTAAAAGAAGTGAGTTAGGCACATTTACATTTTAAACTAATTTACGCCTTTTATTAAAATTTAAAACTGGTTTTAATAATCCCAACTTTGGGCGATTTTCTTTTAATAATCTCAACTTTAGGGTGTGTTTTCTTCTATCAAACCAAACCGGTCAACAGTTGGTCACCATTATACTAGATTTCATAGACAAGTATCATCATGTGATTGGTCTAAAAAACCAAAAATTTACCAAAATAAAGAAAAAAAAAATTAAGAATGGCAGCCACCCCAATCCTAGCCACGTCGCCGACAATGAGAAGTTCTTGAATAAGAATGGTAGGAAAAGACACTGTAACATCAAAACAATATAATAGAAAATGTGGGCCAATTTTCTAATGTATATGAACGCTATAACGTATTAAAAAGTGTGGGCTTATAAGCAAATTTTGCCTCGCATGTGGTGCAATCGAAAATGGTGATGCCCCCAAGATTTAATACAGTGAACCCTCTTAATGTGCACTCAAAAAGAGGAATTAAGAACTCACAATATGGTCAGAACGGATTAGAGGATAACTAACTTTTGGAGGAAGAAAAAGAAGAATTTATGTGTATGAAAAAATGACTGCACAATTCAACTTTTGAAACAAGCATAACTTTTAATTGAAAGGAGAATATCAAGGAGCAATAAAACCGGGCAAAAATTAAGCAAGCGTTTTAAACGTTTCAGAATTGATTAAAACATGTGATGAGGACTTCGTAATCTAATGGTACGGTCTTATAGAAACTAAACCATCAGTTACGCCATGGCCCAAAAAGATGGGTACACCACATCACAATGCGCACGTCCATAAATCGGCCTGTTGACGATAGCGGTGTGTACGTGGGGATGCCCCCTTCTAGCCCACAACACAAGGGAAAGTTCTTTAAACATCTTAATTTAAAGAAATTTTTTTTAATTACTACCTTAAAAGGGGGGTCTTTAAGAATTACTACCCGTAAAAAAGTTTTTAATTACTACTCCTAAAATTGATTAATTCTAGCAACTACTACTTTTTTTTCCTAATCAGCCTACTTAAACTCTTAATAACATCATTATTCGTCCAAATTGTAGTTAGTGACTTTTAAACCTTAATTAATTAAATAAATCCTTGCACCACCTCCACACCACCATTGCACTACCTCCGGCAACTCCCCATGAAACCTACTCCCCTCTTGGTCCCCCACTACGAAACCTTCCCCTCCCGTTCCCCCACCACGAAATCCACCCATCTCGTTCCCCCACCACGAAACTCACCCCCATCCCATTCCCCCACACAAAACCCACCCCATCCGCTCCCCCACCACGATTTTCAATTCCTCCCGGTCCCCCACCATGATTCTCACCCCCTCCCCATCCCCTTCCCGTTCCCCCACACTGAAACTCACCCCATCACATGGCTGAGTTGTTTTCAGGGGATGGGGGAAGGGGAGGGGCGGTAATCGGGGTTGGGGGAAGGGGAGGGGATGTGATTTGAGGGTTGGGGCAAGGGGAGGAGCGGTAATTGCGATGGGGGAGCAGGATGGGGGTGAATTTTGTGGTGTGAAAATGGGAGGGGGTGGGTTCTGCGGTGGGGGGAGAGGAAGGGGGTGGGTTTCGTGGTGGATGACCAAGAAGGGGGTGGATTTCATGGTAAAGGAGCTGCTGAATGTGGTGCAAGGGTTTATCTAATTAATTAAGGTTTAAAAGCTATTAATTACAATTTGACTAAATAATGTTGTCATTAAGAGCTTAAGTAGGCTGGTTAGGGAAAAAAGGTAGTAGTTGCTAGAATTAATCAATTTTAAGGTAGTAACTCTAATTCGATGACGTATCTATATACGAAATGAATCAACCCCATCAGACGGCAACCCTTTTGGGGGTTTGGAAAAGACTCGGCATTCAAGCGAGCTCGGGAGCTGCATGGTCCTTGGATTTGACTTTCGTTGCTTCTTATGGCTTTAATGAACAAAGACAGCGAACCGTAATTTATTTACAAAGGCCCCTCTTTTTGAGGTAGCAATTGACAAATTTTCCTACTTCAAATCCTTATATTCAAACAAAGAAAAACCAAAATAAGTAATTGTTCATCCAAAAATCTCCAATGTTCATCACTTTTATGATCATCATCTTAAGCTTAATAGCTTCCTCCTACCTAGGGTTAAAAGTAATTTGGATAGAAACTGAACTGAACCGAATAAGCAATTTGGTTTGGGATTTTTTTTATTTTTTTAATTTTTTTTTTATTCGGTTTGGATTGAAAAATTTAGAAATTCAGTTTTTCGGTTTGGATTCGGTTTTAAGCTAGTTTGGATTCGCTTTTGAGCTTCTCAAAACCAAACCAAACTGAATTCTTAGTACTGGGCATATGTTAGACCCCAAAATATACCTTGCCCAAATGAAATAATCTCAATTCTTTTGTCTTATAATCAGAACAAAATCCTAAGGCCCATTTTCCCTTCTTTTCATCCGCCATTTTCAACTCTCTCTCTCTCTCTCTCAACTTTCTCTCTCCTCTCAAATCTCACATCTCAAATCTTCTTTGACTAATGATATTTTTAATTATCAATAAGTATAAATCATAAAAAGTTAATATTTGGAAACTATGGTTAAAGACGATTCTAATAGCTGTTTATGGATGATATTTTACCATACCTACAAAGAACAAATTTTGGTCAAAGCAGCATAATAATAATGTCAAAGTCAAACTGGGGCACTTAAATAAAAATAGAGGGAGTATTCATAGGTGGAATTATAATCTGCGAATTGGCCAAAGATGGGACGATTAGAATCAATTTTTCTTTCATTATTTTGTACTATTTTTTTAGTTGACACTTTTTAGGATTTGTGCTCTTCAACTTGTTTTAGATTCTTATTACTTAATCTTAATAAATTCAGTTCAAATCAGACCAGAACAGAAACATTCAGATCATATCAAATCAAGACTTTTAATTATCATTTACTTATTGCTAAATATCTTTAATTGCTTATTAAAAAATTACGAAAATTAAATATTTGAAAAGTATATGATGAGACGAATCTAACAATATCAAATTTGATAATGTTTTTCTTTATAAATTAGTATGAAAATGTGGTCAAAGTTTAATCAAATTTATTAATCACTTCAGACCAGACCTTATTAATAAATTCAGATCATACCAAATCAGACCTTATTAAAATCAAACCAGATCTTCTTATTTCAGGTGAAGAGAACAAGTACTTACTTTGACAATATTCACAAATTATACTTTGACTAATTTTTGTTATTTATAGCTATGATAAAACAATCATGTGGAATCCTGTTGGATTCATCTAGTGTAAATTTTATAAATATCCACTTTTACTAATTTTATTTATAATGTTAATAATTAGAGATTAAAATTGTTAAAATTGTATGTTGGCAATATGATGAAAGAAAGTGTCAATTAAAAAAACTAAGTAGAATTATTATAAAATGGTTATCACTTTGACAAATGCATGTATTTACAAACCTGGGGTGTCGCTTTGACATACTATCTTTCAAAAAGTTCTATTTCCTCTTGATGTCAATGTTGGGACACAATATTCATATCTTTACCCAACAACAAACACTTTTCATGCAAGTATCTATAGCAAGTGAAACTATTAGATACCCAACCCGACTACCGCCCTAAACTCTCAAGGAATAACATGATTAAAAGTCTACCAAGGTAAATGTGCATCCTCACAACAAGCTAATGATAGTTAACTCTAAGAAAGGTCCCCATACTGCATGGTGATACTGCGGCCAGGGCATCTATTAAGACCCTTCGAGTATCGGTGTTCCTGGTACCATTTACTACATTTTGCAGTTTAGTCTTTCATATACGTCTGTTTTCCTCTACTACTATATGTAGTTTAAGCTGGCTATTTTGATGGCTTACGAAGACCAGGTATCTGCAAGAGAACCAATTAAAGATCAAGTTAAGAAGAAATCATCTGGCCATGAAAAAATATATACACAGTACACCCCAATGATGTAGTAGAAGATACAAAATGCTACTCCATATTTTTGTATTAGCACTCAAACTGAAAAAGAGATTCTGCTGATGGATTACATAATTAAATTGACGCTGTTACCTCATTAGCCTTCGTTCCTACCGACTCCCTCTACCCCATAAATATTTCCCTATATTCCTTTTTGGGTAGTCCTTACAAAATTTTCCCATTTCCATTGGTTAGCATAGTCTCCAAAATTCCACTCTACTTTTTTATTACCCCACACACTAAAAACAAAAATCTACCTACTCACTCAATACAACTTTTTATAAAGTGCAAGTTGAGGATGGGGCAATCTTTAAGGAATGGAAGGAGTATATTATTTTTTACAAATTTGCCCAATCGAACATCATTTGGTTTGATTTCCAAGATAAAATCTATTACGACTTGAGACTATACCTTCAGAACTAACCTTCCTGTTTCACATAACATGTAGCACGTATCTCAAACTATTGTAGTATTACTTTTATTAACCAAAAAAAAAAAAAAAGAAGGAAAAAAAAAGAGATTCTACATTGTGGCCTCTGATTATTGCACTTTCTATATGGTGGAAATATTTTTGGCCATATTCTAAATTGATCCTCTGCTTTTGCATGTATCTCCCAACGTGCCCTTAGAATTGTTATATGGCCAACTTTGGGTGTTATATAGTTAAAATTTAAGTTAAATAAAACACAAGTACTACCTTTCGGGCAAGGGTGGTTGTTTCGAGTGAGTGGGGGTAGTTTTGGGGTGAGATGGGTTGATTTAGGTGGATGGAGGTGGTTTCGAGGTGGGGTTGGGTGGGTAATGGGTGGGTACAGGGGTGAGTAAGATGGGTTTGGGGTGAGTTTGGGTGGTTTTGGGTATGGGTGGGGAATGGGGATGACTACTGGCAGTGGTGGTGGCGCTGGTACGTGCTAGACGAGATGGTTGAAATAATTAGGAGGGTAACTGGTAAGTTAGTCATTTAAGCTAGAGGTTTACCATAAAACACTAAAAGTTAGCCATAAAACAATTATAAAGACACATTGGAGATACATGCAAAAATAGAGGATCACTTAAGAATAAGGCCAAAAAAGTTCCACTGTATAGATGACTAGATGTACAATAATTAGAAACCACCATGTAAAATTTCCCAAAAAATAAAAGAAAAAAAAAAACTAGGTTTCAGATTGAGAAGGGGTTGGAGAATAGATGGTTGAAGGATAAATGGATCTATTTATAAAATTGGTCTTGCCATAAAAAATTCCCTAAAAATTTCAATGGAAGCATATATGCTTTAGATACCAACCTCAATGCCATGGGGGCCTATCCGATTTCTAGATATAAAATTGAGGATGAGTGTTGCAAATTCATCAGGAACATCCTCCTGCAATAACAGTCAACTTGTTAAAAAAAAATTCTCACATGGTAGTCAAATTACATAAACACCATAACATGTATTAGACCTGTATGGCATGCCCCGTGTGTCTGACAACCACCATCTGAAACTTGCCTTGCATTTGACCAATAGTGAGAGTTCTGTAACAGCAGATCAGAATACATTTTCAGTATGTTTATCCGTATAAAGTTCAGAAAATGGAGAAACCAAGTCAGCATACTTCATACAGTTGACCAAATTTATAAAATAGAAAACCTGCTTTCAAATTAATTCTTAAGAAGGTATAATGAAGTATGCAATTCCTTTGACCCAACCAATAAAAAAGTACTCCACTACAATCTACAAATAATAAATGGTTCATAAATCAAACTTATGCCAAAATATATAATTTCGAAAGCCAGATTTTGCTCAAGATTTACTGGCTCTAAGAATTACTCACTCCATCTCATTGTAAGTGCTACATTTCCCAATATAACAAATTATCCCTATATATAATTACACATACCCACACATCTAACACACCAAACTACACAATTCCTCCCTCTCTTACTAATTAACAATAAGATATTTCATAATAAAGGTCCGTTTGTACACTCCATATGTCTTTGTGCCTAAAATATTAATGCCAAACCCATTTGTGGCAGTTAATAGGGACAGAGTATATATAAATATGACACTGCCTAATTTTAAAAATAGAACACTTGGCCTGTTAGCCTCAAATTTAATTTTGTCTAGTTGACACGGTAAGGGGGGTAAGATGAACACAGCATTACACCTACAACAGCAGAGAGACTTGACCCTTGATATACAACAAAAGAAACATATATAATAAACCATTAAAATACATTTCATTATAATCCAAAAGCTAACAGATCACATAATTATATTGCCATTTAACAAAGGGCACTTCACAAGAACCTAAAAACTGAGAATTATGGTGCAACAAAATGAAAGTTGACATGCATATAAGATATGATCACCCAATTAAAATATTATGAGTGAATCTGAAATCGTTCAACATATTAAAGTTCAGCTAAACCTGTCAAGTCTATCAGTTCCTGCCAACAACAGGAGCTTTGGAACAGGAGATGACAAAAACTTTTCTGAAAGGCCTTCATACCTGCAATAGGAAAAGGACCAACAAATTCACTCTTTACTTACGAAATATAATATTATAACACAAACTATCCTGACATATCATCAATAATCTCAGACTAATATCTAAAACTTAGGGGAAAGGAATCACTATATTCTTATAAATCAAATGTGAAGTGGAAAGCAAGAAACCTAAAAACGTGTCAGCCACTAATAATTGGCTTAAACTAGGTCTAGAAAACCTTGATTTGACACTATGACACAACAAAAAGAAGTCGCTCAATGACTTGCAGTACAAAATCCATTCAATTTAATGACTTATAAGAATCTTGAGTTTTATGGCACAAGAAATAGACCTTAAACCAAGTTAATTAAGAGCTACAAGCAATTTGGTATTGCAATACATTAAAGAGAAGTCAAAACTTGACTTATCACAACAAACAATTAGACACTGACTAAGTGACCAGCACACAAAGTCATAAACATACTTCCTCAGTTCTTGATAAACATACATCCTCAGTTATTTATTAACTTGATCTGTATTATTTTTTGGAAAGTTTCTTTTTACTTGACCTGTTTCCTTTTTAGGCAAATTTAACCTAATAGTTTTACTTATTTACCCTCACCTTTTCAACATAAATTAACATCTTACCCTTCCTCAATTTCTCCACGGCAGCCACCTTCTCCACCACAGCACCACCCATACCTCTCCTCTTCACAGGCACAAGCTTCCACCCTCCACTCCTCACTCTCCACCTTATAGGTTACTTCGTCAATGTTACAAGGGTTACTCGGTCAGTGTATTAGAGGTTACTGGATTAGTACTACAGGAGTTACTCAGTCAGTGTTATAGGGGTTACTTTGTTCTTTTACAAGAGGCCACATGGTGTCGGCAGCCGCACACAAAACGTATTATAAAACTTTAAATATCCCATGATGTGATATTTGTAAATTTTACTTCTGAGTGAAAAGGTAGCAGTCTCCTTATATTCTTATATAATTATGTTTATGCCCAGCAGAAAAGCACCAATAGGTCATAATTACCTTATAGCATCAATAGCTAGCTATAAAATAATCGCTTTGCAATTGGTGACAGATAGTGGGATGGGCAAGGTATAGTACAGAAAGGTGGCTGTCTGTGGCCACAGTTGGCTGTGTCTTGCTAATGCATTTTAGAATCTAGAGCCAAGCATAGCCTTCACAAAAGGTTGAAGGCTTATAGCATACGATGAAACTTTAATTCGCCAAATTTTTTGTAGTTAGAATGCACCATTGTAGACATTCAATGGATTTGGAAAGTTCTTGTATCTCTATTGCATGTTCTTCATCACTTTTCTCATTATAATCAAAAAATTTTAATCAAACCAGAAACGAGAATATGAATAAACATAATCCACATGATCACATCCACAGGTTTATTTACCATTACAAACACCGCAAATATTGATATAGTGGGGAATCCAAAGTTCTATAATACAGGAATTATTGTTATATGTCAGGCAGTTCTCTAATTTCCTAAATTAAGCTTTTTCTTTTTTTTTTTTTTTTTTTTTTTTTATTAATTACTTCCTCCAATATTTTATGATCTCAACATTTATCCTTGACACATGGTCTAAGGAGGAAATAGTCAAGCTAAACAAATAACTTTAAAATCAGTGAGGAGAGAGTTGGGTTAATATGGTTTTAAATGAATTTAATTAAGTTGCCGTTTCACCTTTTCTATCATCCTATATGATTTTTTTTTTTTTTTTTTTTTTTTTTTTTTTTGCCTCAATTAGCCAGCTGAATAGAGCCATGACGGTTAAATCCCATGCAACCATCCTAGAATTTGCGTTTCCAACTAGATGTCACCAACAGTTTTGAAGAGATTTATATCCTGACAAAATCTCTGATGTGCGACAGGGTAGAGCTGGAAGGATACATATCTTTTCTAATTTTTTATAATGAAAAAAGAATTTATAATTGAAAATGGGTCTAAGTTATCTAGTTTTAGGATTAGTAGAGAAAGCAATCGTAAAAGGATTTGCCAAGAGTTTTCAAATTTCATGGAGACAAACATCACCAAATCGAAACCATTTTTCACTTAAAATAAACCACTTAATGGTTGGAGTAAAGTATATAGAGATTAACTAGCTAACTTACTACCTGATTACATGAAAGGCAGGTGAATTACCAAACTTATGAAGTAGCTACTTTTTTCCCTTTTATTAAGAAACAGTAAATAAAAATATAAAAAATGTGAATGAAGAATGAGTTTACAAAGCAGGAAGAGCTGTCCTCAGTTAAAAGCAAACACCACATCAATATTAAATACTTGCTCTGTTCCCCTAATATTGCAACATGGGGGACACGGAATTTGACAGAGAGTGAGAGAGGGGGGATCCATATTATGAGGAGAGAGATAGAGAGAAAGCAGTGCATAAATGATAATGTTGCAATATTTGTGACCTAAAATAGTAATTGTTGCAATATTAGGGGAACGGAGGAACGGAAGAAGTATTACTTAATCACAAAATTGAATAACTCTTACAAACCCCAGTAACTCTATCTCAAAATGAGGCTAGAAGAAACTCTATGCCAAAGCTGATTATATGAAAGGGAGGCCTCAAGAAGAGATAGGAATTCTGCTGTAATCAAATACAATACCAAATCCCCATAAAGTAAAGCACCCTAACAGCTTCTCCTGACCACTGAAAAGGCCAAAACCCCCTAAAGCTCATATGCAACAACTCATTAAAAAGGAGAAGACCTGTAAAGCCCATGACTCCCTACACAAGACAAACAGCTTTCTACAAAGTTGATAAGCCATTAGACAATGAGGAAAGGCATACATGCAAGATTCACAGTTAACACAGCAAAGCCAACAAGATTGCCAATCTTGGACTCTATCTTTGGACCATACCATTAAAATCCTACCCAAAACTAGCATCCATATGAAAGCTTACACCTTAAGATTGTTATGAAGGAAATAATTTTTTAAGAAATTGATTTTCTCATTTTCTATTGTTTGGTTCATAAAGGGTGAGCCAGACCAGTTAATATCCTATATTAACAAACTATGTTAATATCAAAAATAAAAAAAAAAACATATTTCTTTCATCTTCTTCCTTTAAACTCACGCACAGTAGACAAATTTCTTCAAAAAAAAATGGCACAAAGCACAATACACTTGCTTCTTTTAACTCCATCAACACCACCAACAACCCCTTCTTCCATGAACGCCGACATGACGCCCGACGGTGGCTTCGCCGCCAAATTTAAAGAAAACCCTAAGAAAAAATACACAAATTAAGGGAATGGTTAACCCAAAATGGTAGGTATTGTCGAGGGTACCTGGGCTTTAACAATGGAGCATCTATTAGAGCTTGAAGAAAGCTTCGATACGATGGGGTTTGAAAAAAATTGAAGAAGGTAAAGACCATTTAATTTAACTATAAAATTGCTCATATCATGATTCTTTCGGTGGTTCATTGTGATAAGCGGCGATTGTAGTGGTGGTGAAGAAGCGGTCATTGAACTCCATTGTTGAAGCAGATCTCCATGGTTGAAGGCTTGAAGCTCTAATGTTGTTGAATTTACAGTCTTGTCCATAAATAACTAATGAAAATGACTTTTATACCCCTATATTAACAACTTTTGTTTATATAGGATATTAACTTGTATTTTCTCATAAAGGGTGCAGAAAATAATTTTCCCGAAGGTGGAAAATAGATTTCAGGAGTAGAAAATATATTCCTTTTGAAAGAAAGGAATGCCACATTTTCTTCCGTACAACCCTACTTCTAATATCCCTTTCCTCTCCTCTAATCAATTTTCTCCCTTTTACTTCCATTTTCCTCTTCCTCTTCCTCAATAGTTTTTCTAGTAAGGATTCAATCAAAAAAATTATTTTTACAATAGTGTTTTCCATCGAAAATTGTTTTCTATGGAAAATGTTTTCCATCGAAAATTGTTTTCTATGGAAAATAATTTTCCTAGATATGATTTCCATCATACAAATGAAGCCCAAGAGGTATCTTAGTCTTTCAAGGAAATTGGCTGAAGCAAAAAAAATGGTTATGGGGATGGCAAGATTAAGCAGCCATGAGAAGGCTCACAAGAAATTATAAGTCCCGAAGAATCAATTTGTTTAGCAGAATACCTCACTGATATGTTCCCTATTTGTACAAAAATATATACTTCCTCCATCCCAAAGAAATTGTCCTCACTGATAAAACGTGTGCCTAACACAGCTGCAAATCAGTCTTAATTAACTTCAAGCAGTAATTTTTCATTTCTGCACTGGGTCATTAATTTCACTTATTCAAAGTACAGATATGTGTCAGAAGTCTACAGTCACTTGGGGACCTGGAAAATGAGGTATTTGGAGAACAACGATTATGCAAATCGAGTTTTTCCCATCCCAATATCCATAGAGATAGCTAAATTATCATTGGAGGTTATTGAATTGAAACATATAGAATAAGCATAATGCATTGTGCTGCAGACATGGAAGCTAGCACACTTCTCCACAAAAATAAGACAAGCACACAGCACATGAACTATGAAATGAGTATCATCTTATTCTCTAATATTGACAAGCCTACGCTCATCCATACATGCATATTAAGAACAAACATAATAATTGCATACCAGCCTCTCCAATACTGTTCTGTTTCTTCCAGACAAGCTCGGTGCACATAACTGCATACAAGTATCAGACCAGTTAGTAGGCCTGGAGTAAAATATAGAAAATAATAAGTTAATAAGAGCTATAGGAATATTATAACATGTAGCATATACACTCTCTCTGCTCTTTCTCTTTCCTTGACTTATCCTGTATTTCTGGATTGCAGGACTCCATTAAATCATGGAAATTCAAGATCCATGTCATTCGTATAAAGGACAAAGCCTTCAATCACAAAATTATTCAGTTCAGCAGTGAATTTCCATGAAAGGTTTTGTAAGACAATTATCTTACATATCTCAATATAATATAGCCTTTTAAATAGAGTTAAAGAAAGAAAAAGGGGTAACAAATTGGAAAATGCTACTTCATATTATAGAGAGAAGAGGTAAGTCTACTTTGTCAATTATAACATGCCGGGTCTGTTTTTAATCCCCAAAATCCCCCACCTTTTCTCGAGTCTATAGCAGGGTTGGGTTGACACTAATGCAGCAGGGCTAAGTGGTGAGTTTAGGGATCATAGGACTCTAATGGTTGTAGTCATGGTAAGTATACAACAAAGCCTTCGTCCAAAAACGATTTAGGGTCGGCTACCATGAATCGTCATGGTAAACATATTAACTTAAATGAAAGAAGCTTCAGTACTCAAATCATCACTTATCTTACGTCAATAATGGGCAATTAAGGAAACGACTTTCATCCAGCATGCATCCGTCAATATTTTAACTGGATTCATCGTACAGCATTATGCATGAAAACAAACACTGTCTTCGAGACAAATTCACCAACCAAGAAACAGATATACATACACAACACTAAAGTAGACTTTCACACTTGCTTTTTATTTTTTGTATTTATCCATTAACCCCAACTCTTTCTTTTCCTTTCAATTTACAATCAAGAAATTGAAACTGCAGAAAGTAGAAGTTAAACTACATCAAGAAAACAATATGGAAATTTCCAGTTGCCTTAGCCCCATATAGAAGCTAAGAATGTCATCAAATCACTATTCCACAGTTGATCATGCGAGACCCAAGCAACTTCTCTTTCTTCCCACTGAATCCTGCAAAGAATTGATACAGGACAATGGGAGAGCCATCCCCCAAAGCTAGCTCAAGAGGAGGAGAGCTCATTGTCCTATATAAACCCCACATTAATCCCCCATATGACCAATGTGGGACTCAAGTCCCATACCTTGCAATGGATCATTAAATCCGCAATCAAGAGCCACCTTCATGTGGCCTCAACGAGAGGATCGTAACAAGAATCTCTATAACCCCTGTAACTTCAAAGGCCAGAGCCAAGCCTCTACACAAACCTCAAAGAGACATCTCCAAAGGTAATGAATGATATCACAGTGAAGAAAACATGTGAATAGGATTCACTATTAGCCCAATAAAGCAAGCAAACGTCAAGTGAGATAACCATCCTCGGCCTTTGCTTTTAAAGCATTCAACCCATTCCTAATAACAGCATACCATTATCACAGCTACATACAAATACTAGGACTATACAAAAAGATTTAAGATATTCTCTTTTATTTAATCCTCCAACAACCACATAACAGCCACATACCTATGCTGTACAAATTATTAATTACAGCATCTTTAATATTGTGTATATCTGTCTTTCCCTGATCCAAGGACATGCAATCATATTTTCGATTGAAAGAAAAGGGAACAACGGGAAGAAACCTATTAATTATTTGGAAAAGGGTTAGTGTTCTCTATCATACTTACCATTGCTTTGACTCATCATACTTAAATGTGGCAGGAATTGACACACGGGCAGAATCAATATTTCTTAAAGATCCACCTCTAACACTCCATTCAATCTGTATAACATAGAGCAAAACAGAAGATAAACACTTAGAAGCAGGATCAGACATAAATGGTAACAAAATTCAATCATGACACTGCTATGGCTTAGAGGATTTGTACTTAATAATTGATTTTAGGTGTCTCTCAAATATATATCTTGAATCAAAAAAGTAATACAGAGAAATAAAAGAGGTCTTTAATGGGATGTGTGCAGTAAAAGAAACTTTATAAGGACAAACAGAAAAGCTACCCAGGTGATATAAATTTATAAGGACCATAAGCTGTACAAAACTTCAATGCGAGTTTGTGATCTGTGATTTCCTTTAATTGTTCTGACAGGCAGCATTTGTACTGATGGCTTTACTAGCTAGCTTAAACCAGTGTTCCACAATGCTCTTCAATCATGGATACCATATGTTTCTTTTAAATGATTTCATTTAGCAGCACAAGTATCCCAAGTTCCTAACTTTTGGACCTTTCCTCCTCTAGGTCAGGATTTTCAGTATTATGATCCCCATTACTGATATACACTACCTTCAGCTATCCATTGTCTTTAACATACCCGCATCCTACACTCATAGGGTGGAATCCGATCTGATATTCTGATTGACCCGATCCATGATCCAGTCGATTTGATCCAAAATTTTGGATATTCGATCCAGTTTTTTACGTTTTAGATATTATGATCAGGTATCCAGAAATTTTTGGATTGGATTCGGATCAGCTTTTGAAATTTTCGAATATTTGAAATATCTGGTTTTTAATTTTTTCTTGATAGATAATTTTTTCCTAATTTAAAATATTAAACCACCACCTATTAAAAATCTCAGATATCTGGAGGAAAAAAAAAAAAAAAACACAGATATCCGAATTGATTTTTTAATGTTCGGATATGGTGGATCAAATATCCGGTTTTTTTTCGGATCAAGATTCGGATTGGATTTCTCTCGGTCCAAAATTTTCGGATATACAATTTTTCATATCGGACTGGATATCTGGTTTGGCCACTGTCACTCAACAAACCCGCCAAAATACCTAGCACTTCAATCTTCATCAAGGCACCAAAATCATTGTTACTCAAGCGCGCCAAAATTTTGGAACTAGGGTATGGTGCCTGAATGTAATCCAGGTATTTTACCAATTTTGAAGGATAACATACATGACATGGGTGCAACATGGATATGAAAGGTAGGAAAGATAAAAGGAAATTATGTTATATACATTTGTAAACGGACTGAAGATCACAATTATAACATAAACTATTAGACAAGTCAACCTGGAATGAAAAGAAAAAAAAAACTTTAAAAAATAGGAATGTATATCATCAATGCTGTATCACCAAACCTGTTTCCATTATTAGGCCAGTGTCCCATACCCATAATTTTGAGCCTTAACGTGTTTGACACTTGGATATCCAACATTAGTATTGTATTACCCTTCACCAAGTAGCATAGAGTATTATGATACATTTTTTAAAAAATTTTTATTTTGTAATTCTGCAATTATTCATGACCAGTCTGCTTTTCTATGGAGTACATTGTCCGGTGTACAAAAGAAGATTGCTTTTCTATGAGTCATGGTTCAACAGGTAGATCTAAGATTATCAAGATAATCAGGCTCATCATCTTGTATTGGATTTGTATAAGCAATAATATGTTTAGAATCTTCAGTACATCAAATAGTTGGATTGGCAAAAAGACAAACCATCCATGACTTAAGGTTGTCTAGCAAGCTCAAAAAAAGCAGGGTGAAATTTTTTCTTTGTATGAAATTAACTTTAACTCCATTAATTTCTAACCCTTCTAAATCAATCAGTAATTAAAAATGTTTTTTTATAAAATCACCAACTGTCACCATTCTACTCTCCATTATACTTTCCTGCGTTTTCTTTTAAATACAACACACCATGGCACACACTTGGTAAACAGATAAATTATTCAAAATAATTTATACATGTGGTACCTATCCCTTCTCTAATCTTGGTGTTCAAATTATTTTGTTAAAGTCGCTCGTTTATCTACACTAATCAATTCCTAATAAGCGTGTCAAAAAGATGAGTTGCCTTTAAACGAAAACAAAGGAAGTACAAGAGAGGTACAGCCTTACGGACAAAGACCATAAAGCTACAAAGAAAGTATTAAAGCTAGAGACGGATACAAAAATCCGTTCAAGCTAATGAGTCATAGATGATCACATTACAACAGTTACCATGCTTTGTTTCTGCAAAGGACTTCAGCCATATCTCTTTTTCTATTCTTCTCTACCTTATTTTTGTACCACACATTAATCACCTTTTTCATTCAGTGTAAGGTACAATAAGAATGCTAACAGAAAAGGAATTCAATAAGGAAAAAGAAGGTTCATTTCACATTCACTAATAATAGTTCACTTCAGTGGATCATGAAAGTTTGATATTATTATCTGATATCAGGAAAATAATTTAAGGCAGAACGGCGGCATCTTAAATTATAAAATGTAGATCCTCTGACAAGAGAAATCTACTTACAGCTTTTTCCACGCTTGCAAAATGCTTTGGTCTGCTTGATAGAATTTTTCGCATGTGGACCAATGAAGCCAAGGCTGTTCCCTGAAATTTTCATGATTATAGGCTGGATAAAAATACATATCCAGGAACAATACCAAAAGTATACAGTATATATATGTCAAACCTCAACAACATCCACAACAATAAGTCCAGCCAAGCTACGTAATGTTTTCTTTGCAGCAACATGCACAGCAACAGAACCTCCCATGCTGTCATGACATCAATAATCATATTATGACTATATCAAACAAATGCGTATGTACCAAGAAAAGCTAGTAACAAGCATATTTAGCTTCGTGAACAAATATATATATATATATATATATATATATATATATACATGTGTGTGTGTGTGTGTATGCTTTCCGTGTCATTAATGGCATTTTCGTAATATTTCAATTTTACAAAGTGATTTCCAGTTTCATTTCTAAAAAGTAAATGAAAAGTTAGTAAAAGTAAATGAAATCAGTCATAAAGTAAATGAAATTGCCTTAAAAGTTAAAAAACTGGAAAAAAGTTTGAAAAGCCGCGAAATTACGAAAATGCCATTAATGAATGCGGGTGAAACGTGAGCCGTTCGATGTAGCACGATTAAAGGCTGAGATTGGTTCCAAGTTCCTATTATTCACCTTGGTTCTCACATGATCTCAATTCTATATATATATATATAGATATATATATATATATATATATATATATATATAGAGAGAGAGAGAGAGAGAGAGAGTTAGGTTCATGTGAGAAGTGCTCTTATTGTGAGAAGGGTGAGAAGCAATTACAACCCTTAGATTTGTCAAATCCAATTGTTGATATTTAACCCACTTCATTAATGGCATAACTGGTAATTTTCACCAACTTTACTTGAGAAACAAAAATGCTATTCATTGATCACTCCAATGAAGAAACAAGCCACTGCCCCAATCCCCCTTACTTCTTCTCTCTCTTCTGACCAGCAACAACGCCGGAAGTAACCAGTTCGCAACCATCGTCTCTGCTACCTCACAACTGTGCTCTGCCTTTGTTCAGTTTTTGGCCTCCAATCTACTCCTTAAATCTCTTCCCCAACTTCTCACTCCTCTAATATTCCCCAATTCATATCATCCTAAAACCAAATTCTACCCAGATTTATTCATCAATAAACCCTTTTTCTGTGTAGAAATTAATCTCTTTTCTAGATTGATTGAAAATGATGTAAATTGATGGCGATGAAGCCAATTTGCGGTAATTTGGAGCGGGAACAATGGTGGATAACGTTAATAATGGAGAATGTGAATTCTATTATTGACATGTTCAATATGCTTGATCGTACCCAGAATACCAATGTACCTTTAGTGTAATACTAATGTACCTTTAATGTATTCACAATGTATTTGTAATGTGTTTCTAATGTATTTGAGAATCTCATTTTCCACTTTGAATATAATTCTCACCATATGTTTGAGAGTAGGTGAATGTGGTGATGATGAGATAGATTTTAGGCCTGAATATTGAAAGATAAATGAGAAACACAGATTGCAAGATTTGTGGTCATTAAGGTGATTTTTTTTCATTTTACAGCAAGATTACAAAGTTTTAGTTATTTTCAAATTTGATTGTTGAATTTGAGTTGAGTGGCGAACGAGATCAAATGGGTTTATGTTTCGGTAATAGTGATTGAGGGGATCAGTGTATCTATAGTTAAAATTTATACTCCATGTCAATTTTTAAAGGCAGAAAATTGATGTATTTGCAATGTATTTTAACTGTACCTATAAAGTACATGTAATATGTTTGAAGTATATTTTCAATGTATTTGTATTTCTCACACTTCTCACCCTAAGTCCTTCTCACCGGACCCTACCCTATATATATATATAAATATAGGGTGAAGTTCCTGTGACAACCATCTTAATATGAGAATCGTGAGAACCACATAAGGTACATAGTAATAAATAAAAAATTCAAATATTTTTTGTTTTGAAATATTAAGGTACATGTTTTATATATACAATTATATACTTCCTCTTTTTTATTTTTAGGTGAATCACTTTTGTAATTGCGGACTGCTAGGCAATTTTTTGGAGTAGAGAGAGAAAAAATAAAGAGGGCCCATGTGATAGGAGAGAGATAGAGAGAATTTATTAACTAAAAGGGAAAGTGATGCGTCTAAATTGAAACTTTCAATTATAGAATGTGATGCTTTTAATAAAAAAAACGGAGGAAGTACTTATATACATGTCTTAAAAGTACAAGGTTATATCCGAAAAGTACAAGGTATATGCCCTAAACTTATTTTTTTTTAATAAAATATTTCTAGCCGTGAACATTAATTTTTTTTACAAAATTTTAAGGTTCATGTCATATAGCTATAAGGTACATACCCACGAGACATAAGGTACATGTCTTAACATAATAGGGTACAACACATTAAGCAAATAATAATAATAATAATTTTGTAGCCACAACAATTGAGTGCTATGGAAGACTTACAACTTTAACATTATCTACGACAAGAGCTAACATGTTTTAAGGTACGAAAACATTAAAACAAAAAGGTACCCATCTCTATAAGGCTATCAAGTCAACTTTCTAATATCTAGCACCTCCTTGTATCCCTTTTTAGTGGACACGCTTTGACTTTTTGCAACCATCTTTATGAAAACACCCGATAACATTAGAATACTCTTGATATATATTTTTAAACATATTAGGTCTTTTAAACGATTAATAATAAATAACTAAAAATGTAGATGGTCAAAAAATTTGCATTGCCAAGTCCGAAATGGGTTTCGCGCTGCTAGTCCCAAGCCTGGATAAAGGAGGGTTACGGTAGGCCATTGACAACCAATGTAAAACTTTGTCACATCGCTTGACATGAGCCACAATGATGGAGAGTAGTACTCAGATGTGTGACCTCCTGGGAAGTCCTCATGTTGGTTCATGTAGCCGACCCCATTTAAGAAGAAGAAGATTAAAATACACGAGCACCTCTACGTGCTCTATATGAGGGCCTTAAATGACAACGGAAATTCTCTATCAAATTTCTTCTAATGTATCGTGAATCAAAATCCAAAAACATTTAGCTCCTCCATTAAATCCACGTAAGCTTGATGCTTTAAACTTGATAGAATGCTTACTCCGTGAACGAAAGGTGGGATCTATAAGGATTAGTGAGGTATTTGCAAATCTGTACTATAGGAGGCATGAGTTAGAAACTTTATTTTATATTTTAAGTTTTAGAATTAGGATCCTAGAATCTTGGTATGAAAATCTAGTGAGGAGAGATGGACATTCTATTTTAAGAGGAAAAAATCACAATAGAGAGGTTAAAGTAGGAGAATGGTTCATGGAAAGTCAATGAATGCATTAAGGAAGAAATTTGAGGAAGAGAGTGACAAATAGGCTCATGTAAGTCTCATGAGGGGGAGGGGGCAGTAGCAAAGCCAATTAAGGACAAGGGGGGACAGCTCCTTGAATTAATACATTTATCTTGGTTTTGTTCCTCATTTTGGTAGTAAAAAAGTGCTAATCACCTTGCAAAGAGTAAGGGTTATAAAACAAGAATTGGTTTCTCCAGGCAAGCTGATATTTCTTTTCATCTCGGGTAAATCTCTTCTCTGTTATGATCCTGACTTATGAACCTTATGGCTACGTTAATCTACTTGATTGTTGATTAATTCTTCAAGCCAAACATTTAAAATAAAGTATCAGGAAACCTATTGGTAGGTCTTGCGCAGCAATTTTTCCTTAATTCATATAGACAAATATATGCAAACTAAGCCAACAAAAGGAAAAACAGAGTACTTAAGGCGAAGAAAATGAATATAAACCAGAGAATGAAGATTAAAGAAGAGAGTTATTTCTTTAGTTCATTTTCAATGAGTGGTGAAACAGGTAATCAAGACATTTGAAAGGCCATGAACTCTGCTAAACAACAAACTTAATAAAATTCTCTGGATATTCTCTCTCTAACCAGCCCCTTTTATTACATTATTATCATCACCATATTCTTTCCTCCTACCATCCTCAATTAACCTCCCCCCGTGTCAGAACCACATCTAGCATACATCACCGAAATTGGAGGTCTGGATGAGGCCATAACAATACTCCACACATGTTTCGGAGCCATAGTAAGTTGATCAACTTGTAGTAAGTACTTTATATATGTACTATGTGATTTGTAAGAACCAGGGACGATACTCCATAGACGCTAATGACCCCGTCCTGATAAAGGGCATAGCAGAATTTAATGCTTAAATCGCTAATTTGACCACCTAGCCTGTTGGCAGCTCTTTATAACAGGCATTTTCAAGGATGTTAGAGTAGGACACCATTTTTTATTGGAAACAGTAGAATTTAATATCCTCTTTGCAATTAATGGAGTTATCTCTCATCCCTCCCCTTTGCTCATAAAAAATCCATCCCTTAAATGAATTCTGACAAAAATATATTCTCTGTGTTCTCTACTCTTCCCTACCCTATTGGAAATAAACATTTGTAGCATGAGCCAAGATTCAATGTCTTAACAAAATGCAATTAGAACCAAGCATTTTCCAGCAGAAATGAATCTTGATACATAGGACAGAGAAGTCAACCACACAATTATAGAAAATACACAATTATAATTTGCATATAAATATTGATAAGAAGTAAAGTTTGCAATCAGGAACAAACCTGTGGCCAATGAGTACGATTGCTGGAGGTGAATCTCCATACATGGTGCTCAAAACAGCCAACACATCCGTGAATAACGTCTACAGATGACAATATGTAACTTATTTCAAGGAAGTTCTGCTACCAGAAAAAATATATCTCATATGCAACAAGTTTATCACCTCAATTGATAAGTCCAAATCATTATCTGTAACTGATTTTCCATGCCCTCTCAAGTCCATTGCCACAACCTGAGCTTTTTCCTTAATCTTACTTGCTGACAATGCAAAGGAAAGCCTGATCAAACGAATATCATAAATTAGATAGGCCAACCTAAAGGAAAGCACCTGTTATAGTATGCGACTTAACAATATTAAAAAAAGGAGAATTTGAAATGCTGGAGAAAGGCATATGTTAAGGGAGATAAAAGATTCCTCCTAATTGCAATTTCTCCCTCTCTCCACATGCTTGGTTTTCATATTAACAAACAGTGAGAAAAACAAAAGATATTCATCCATGTATTTCAGCTAAAGTTACTAGGAATCAATAATTTGCTTCCATAAGTCTATTAATAAATGAGGTGCCAAAAACCAAGAATTCAAGAGAGCAAATGTTAGGCAACATCTGATTTGTTTTAAATGTTAAGAAATGAAATGTAACTAAATTATACTTAATAACTATCCAAAGTTTAACTTGATTTATTTAGAAAATGGCTTAATATTTTATGGACAGACTAAATAAAAAAAAAAATGTACCCTATTATCTTATAAGAATGAAGTATTAAACTCCAAATGAGAATTACATTCATATGTTTCGTTAAAACCAAAGAATAGGAACTATAAGTCTGTAAGAATATAAGAAAAATAATAGAAGCATAAAACAGAAGCAACACATCACAAATTAAAGAAGCAAAATTTCTTGATAAGCATCTTTGCAATAAGAAAAATTCTGAAATTCTAGATACCCAGAATATCCGCCTCCATGCAAACAAAATATAACTGGCCCTTCTGAACCAGCCTTATATACATGAAAGACCTGTTATCAAACAAAAAAAATACGCATAAGTAGAAAAATCTACATCAAAAATGACTAACAGGAAATGAAGTGATTTTATTCAACTCGATAGTTCCAAAGATAAAAAATTAGATATTTCATACATTTTCGGTGTCTGGTATGCAAATATCATCCTCATGATCAAAATAGCTTGTCCAATCCAACGGCGAGTATTTTGGGAAACTACTCCTGCATTAAGAAATAGTATAGATATGTATATCCATTATTTCAGCAGATTGGTGCAAATTATTTGTGTGTTTGAATGAGTGATAACACAATCGAATCAGTAACGCAAAATAGTTATCCGAACATAGACAGCAGAATATGCTAGCGCTTTCTATGCAGACACAGGTATGAGCTCCTAATAACAAACACAACTACGGAGTACAACGGTTTGACAATGTGTGAAAACCATGCCATTACAATAACTTTGCACTCAATTCTAACTAAATATCACTAACACTCGATTTTTTCGCCTAAAACTATCAATGCCTCAAAAATTAATAGTAACCTAAATCATCTAAAGATTCTAAACTAAGCCAATAACATCATCACTAACATTCAAGAATAATACATACAACCATGCTACAAACAAATACCAATTAATCAAGTATAATATAAACACATCAAAATATTATAGAACACCCAAAATAAAAAAAAAATGCAGATATATCAAATCAAAATAATTTCGAAAACAAAGCATTAATACATAAGTATAAAACTCAATATTTACAACAAACTTATGCGAAAAACATTGAGAAATTTGATTAAAGCAACTTCGCATTGAACAATCAAATTAAAACAAAAATTATATTAAACTGTTGAAAATGCATAATCTAATTACAACATGAATACTACGAATTGAATTAGGGAGAAAGAGAGAATTACTGGAGAGGATGGCGAGGAGGAATGTTAGAGAAAGCAGAAGTTGAAGAAGGTGAAGAAGATTGTTGAGGTTGTCCTTCCGATTCCTCCGATAACGGTGTCAGATTACCAGAGGTCTCCATTTTTGTTGATTCTTATTCTTATGATGATCACTCTCTTTCTTGTTTCGTTTGGTTTTTCTTCCTGAGATGGCACAATTTTTTAATGAGAAAGAAGGATTCTCTACTAGACCTATTGAATGCTCGAGTTAGGTGGCAATTGGGTTGTTTAGATCGGATCAATCCAGAAGATATATTGTTGTTCTCATTTTTGTTTGTGATTGTTTTTTGTTTTTTGTTTTTTAATTTTTTTTTCAAACAAAAAATTAGAACCAAAAAACTATATAAAGCAAAAAGAAAAATAAAAAAAGTTGTTTCTACTTTTTAATTGTGAATTTTCAAAATAATAATGATTTTAATAAGTTTGACTAACTTTTGGTTCACCTCCGTTATATGACATATATGATATATTATGTGGTTTGAAAAAAAAAAGAAAAAAAAAAAGAAATTATAGTGAACCAAACAAACCCACTCGATCGAGTTGATTTTGGACACATATCATGTCAAACAGATCATTTTTTATTTTATTCCAAGACAATGGGTAAAATATTCATTATGAGTATTAGCATTTATTTTTGGGTTGGGTCAATTTGGGTTGATTTCGATTGGAAAAATGATTTCAAGTGATTTTGGGTATAATGTGGGTTTCAAGTTGGATAGTTTGGATCGTGTGGGGTCAGTTGTTTCTAGTTTACTATTCTACTAATTATAAGATTAGAAACAATTAAATTAAATCAATTTCAAGTTATGACGGAGTCCTCTCTAATGCAAAGACCCAACCACTAGTGATTTTGTTAGGTTGCATATTCAATTACCATCCTCATTTATTTTGTATACCATTCATACTTTTTATTACCTTATAACTAATATTAATAGTTGTTCAGGTTGAAATATTTAATTGGTAGGTAGAAAATTCAAGTTTTGAAAAGTTACTAAAATATTTAAATCTAGAGAAATAATTTAAATTTGAATGTCATGTTTGATGCGTTAAATTGTAGGAATCTAGAATTATGGCAAGAAAAACAAAAAAAGAAAAACAACTCGCAACAACAAAGTTAGGTCATGTTTGGCAAAAGTAGCAGTAGCGGGTAGCTTTTAGCGATCGGGTAGCGGGTAGCTATTAAGGTAGCGAGTAGCTGTCAATTAGTAGTGGGTAAAGGTTAGCTGTCAAAGTAACGGTTGATAGTATGAGTGTTTGACAAAACTAGCGGTTGCAATACTAAAATATATTAAAATTCATATAAATATTAATTAAAAAGTAATAAAAAATTTGTCAAACGCTACTCGCTACTAATTTTAACGTTTGAGAAAAGCTACCTAAACGCTACCTCTATCGCTAACCACTACTAGAACCGCTACCTTGCCAAACACTCACAAATTTTTTCTAGTAGTGTTTTGACTAGTCAAAACGCTAATCGCTACCACTAAATAGGGCCTTAATAAAAACAACCAAAATTTACACCGTGTGGTCAGTGTGGCTAACCATTATAGGGGTTACTTCGTTAGTGTTATAGGCGTTACTTGGTCAGTGTAATAACGCCACAAGGGTTTACTTCGTCAGTGTTATATGGGTTACTCGGTGAGTATTACAGGGACTACTCGATTAGTGTTATAGGAGTTACTATGTTCTTTTACAAGCAGTCACATGGTGTGGCCGGCCGCATACAAAATGCACTGCTTTTCAAGTTCATTTGTGCAAGCGTGTATTGGTTTATCAAGATCTATTGTGTGAATGTGTGTTTATATTTTAATTTGAAGAAGTGGAAGTTATTTAGAGGTTATTTCCAAAAAAAAAAAAAAAAAATAAATAAATAAATAAATAAAAAAAATTGAGTGCACAAAATTGAAGTATTAAGGTTTTGGAGGGTTATGGTGAGAAGTTACAAAAAAAATACAGCACAATTATAATATAAATTTAGGTATTTTGTCGACATGGTTCAATTGGAGAATTTAGAGCATGAACAATGGTGGGTAACCAGTGACTCACAATACTCTCTCTCCTCTTTGTGAGTTAACTCACTATTGTGAAAAGTGACATAAAGCTTACTCATGGGGAGGGGAACAACCCACTGCCGAGTAACTGACATCTAAAAAAAAAACTAATTTTAGTGTGATCCAATACTTACTTGACAAGTGTCACCGACAAAGTAAAATTTGATTTTATTAGGGCATTGATAAAATTAGGAGAGAGAGTGGTGAGCAATCTTACCAATGTAGATAAATAAATAAGGTGACTCATAATAGTAACTTAAGATAGTGAAAGGTGGGGTGGAAAATGATTTGAAAGAGAGATAAATAAATGAGGTGACTTGTAATGGTTGTGAGGTTACCCATCATTACTCATGCTCTTAGATGAGGAATCATGTGTTACTCTCATGGTGTGTCATCATCTTGAAATTGGATGAAGATGAAAATTAAAGGAAATTATAGAGTTATTTATCAATTCCAAAAGCCATATGAGGTTTTTTTATTTTTATTTTTTTTCTTATGCGACCACCATTAAGGAAGAGGGGAATTCACTTTTTATGGGAAATGATTTTGGTAATGCTTTTTGTAAAGTATAACAAAGCAATCATGTACATAAGTTTTTAAGTTTTGCAACTTCTGGTCTTTTGGAGCAATGATTTTTCTGATATTGCTCTAAGATATAGCTATTGTATAACTTTGCATTTGAACCTTACGACTTGTGCAATTCGGCTAACGAAAATTATTGTGTAGAACGGACTCACGGTGAGTTAACCCTACATATTTTACATCACTCATCTTATCATTCTCGAGATAGTGAAAACACCATGTCTCTTCAAACCTTCACCGTCACCTTACTCGACGTCCCACAATTACCCGTTGTCGAACTTATCGCCAGCATAATTACTACTGGTTGTGAACTCCCCTTCGTACATTTCCAGCTCTTCACCTCCTCCATCGTTAACCGAATGGCGTAATCTTTTTCTAAGTCGGGTTAAACACACTATAGTTTCACTTTAATGTTAGTCTGGGTTTCTTGTTCTCGTAAAACAAAGAAAACAAAAACACCATGACCTTTACTTAGGGTTACAAAGGAGTCATTGCTGCCTCTTCAGTCTTTACGTCAGCTTATATTATTACTATTGCTTGTATAATAAACAATCAATCAATAACTATATACTAAAAGACACACCAGCAATGACACATGTCATCTTCTGGTGTGTCCTTAGTATATAGTTTTTTTTTTTTTAAATTGATAGAGAATATATGCATAATATTTTATTCTAAAATTGAAGGAAAAAAATTATAAAATAATATATTTATCAACTTAGGTATCTAACCATATCTTTTTATAAATTCCTATATAATTAGTTACTTTTTAATATCAATCAATAATAATAATAACTATAACTATATCAATAACTAAAAGACACACCATGACACATGTCATCTTCTAGCCTGTCCTAAGTATATAGTTTTTTTTTTTAAAAAAAAAAAAAAAATTGATAGAGAATATAATATTTCTTCCCAAATTTAGGAAAAAAAATCGTAAAATAATATATTTATCAACTTTGGTATCTAACCATATCTTTATATAAATTCATATGTAATTAGTTACTTTTTAATATATAATGACTAGATGAAGCCTGTGCGTTGCACGGTTTGTTTATATTTTTCTAAAACAAATATTATTTGTACGTATATGATAAAATTTGTTATTTTATTCGTTATATATAATATATCATTTAATATTTTTATTTTAAAATAAATTGTGAATTTCCTCTCATTCGTTATATATTTAGATAAAATTCCTAATATCAAAAGATAATATTTATATTTAATTAATTCAAACTTTAAAATCTCATTATCTAATTTTGCGTATGTGGTATTTGATTTATTTAATTCTAAAAGAAATTACTAATCTCTTATTTGATTGGTTATAACTAAAATGTATAATCTTACATGGCGCCCAAGAAAATTTAATCCTACGAGTCTCTCTAAAAACTCGGAAAAAAAAACTCCCCTTTATATATATACTAGTTTTGTGTCCAGGCTGTAACACCCTAGAAAGTCCTTCCCTTTAAAATACCTATTTTACCCTTTTAAAATACGAAATAGGAAATTCTAAGACATACCGCCACCGTGAAAACGGCTAAGGCAATTATCAAAAACACACAGCGGAAGACTCTCTTTAAAACTATTCAAAACAAGTAAACTTAAAAGTCAAACCGAAAGAAAATAAAGTCAAACAAAGTCAACCTATAACTTGGAACCATTGTAGGCCCTTATTAAAACCGAACAATACTTAAAACCTTTACGTTAGTCTCACAAGCATAATAAAATAAATAATATTCAAAGCATTTAAAGCACATCATATTCCTATGGAAACTAAACATGATTTGCTCTTCACTCATGTCCATCATGAATATGCTTCATCACCTGAAAATCTCTCTTTTACTTGTCCCTACTACTCGCCATTAGAAATGGATTGTCATAGGGCCAAGATAAAGACAAGGCCAAACAAACATACAAACACACAATCAGCAATGCTAAGTACATAAGCGTAAATAAAACACACTAACATGCTTTCATCCTACCATCACACAACTTACCCTGTGGCACCTATTTACAAGCATACAACATACAACATGACCGTTCAATAAATAACTAATTTATTTATTTAGCTTGATTACGCATCGAACGGGTTTCCAACTAAATCCCTGCCTAAATAAATTGAGGTAAACTACACCGGGAGCTAACCGGGTAAGCAAAATCCACATGAAGTGACAGACGTCCTGCGCATAATAATAATAAGGAAAATACAGTGTCCTGTACTCCCAGTAGAAGTTATGGTCAAATATAAAGTTGCATAACCCCCCCCCCCTTTCATATGTTCATACTCGAGGTATATACGTTACAAGAGTTTTGGTGTGTAATCTCTTTCGCTTTACGTTGTTTACATATTATTGGACTTGGTGATGACTCGCAAACCATAATACAATCAATCATTATAATCATTCAAGCAATCAAACATACCAATTTAATTCTTGAATAATTAGTAACCACATAAATTTTATATTGAATCTTTTTTAATCTACCTCAGTGTCAAAGACACCTTAAACGCATAATAAACTGCAAATCTTATCCCTTAGTGTTAGAAACACCTTAAGTGCACATAAGCACCGCAATATAATTTATTCCTGTGTACTAAGACACTTAATAGCTCAATTCCCATGCTTAAAGCATCACTAAAAATTATATGAACTACAATAATTCCCTTTTCATATTCCAAACCAAATTAAACATTTAGTTTAATTAAACATGCTCTCAATCATGCCAATAATAAAAGTGTAGTTCATATTCAACATGCCAATATAATTAATTCCAATCATTAATCCATCATAAATAATTCATACTTCACAAATCAATCACCAACATCAATCCAATCAACAATTCCAACCAATACCTATCATGATACTACCTTGGAATTAACTAGACAAAGCCTAGCAAGCTTCTATACACTTAAATAATTACCAAGTATGTAAACGTACCTTGAATATGATCTCAAATTCGCCACGACTAAATAAAATCACTCATTTGAAAATCTCCTACAACCTTAAATTACAAAGAGACATTAATACCTATTCCACACAAATTTTCAGCAATATATACACTCCTTAAATCACTCATAAATCTTCTAAAATAAGCTGAAATTTAATTTAAAACCCTTACTTTTTATTCCCAATTAATGGGTAATTAAAAACCCTTTCAGGAAATATAATTATAGCTTATATACAAAAATTCCAGCTTTATTAAATCATTTAAAATTGCTGCAATTGTGTTTTAAAACACTTATTTCAATAATTTAAATCATCCATAAACAATTTCCATCAATATACATAAACTTAGAAACCTAGGGTTTATAATTTGGAGCTTTTTAATTCAAAACCAAATCTGAAAATTTATATACATAATAGTTATAAACAAACATCATAAAAATCATCACACAACTCAAAATCAACAATTAATCTAAGGCTAGATTAGGATTTAAAAAAAAAAAGAATTTTTTTTTCTTTTTTTTTGTTCGAACACCAACAGCCACGAAACCACAGCAGGGCTGCTGTCGCACGCCCGTTGGTGGTGCCGCTGCTGTCGCTGGCGTTCGCTGGTGGCTGTGGTGGTGGTAGGCGGCGTGTAGTGGTGGCCGGTGTGTGGTGTGAAGAAAATAAGGGGAAGGGGAAAATAAGAGAAAGAGAGAGAAAATAAGAGGAGAAAGAGAGAGAGAGAGAGAGAGAGAGTTACCTTGGGTATTCTCCACCTTGGCCAAAGTTTAATTTGCCCATGTGATGGGTATTTATACCCTCTCTCTAAAAACCCTCCTAAGCTTAAATTCCCTTCCTACCCTTAATGATCTCTTTCCTATTCAAACTAGTGTTTTGCCTTTTTTTATATACCATTGACTTTAAATTTTCTTTTATAAAGTAATATGCCCCAAAGTTTTTAAATTATCAAATAAAGTATTTCCAAAATTATTAATAAATAAATTGGATCTTTAATTAAAAATAAAACTCTTTAAATTAATAAAACATCATAAATAATTCATTTCAACTTATTTAAATACTTTAAGAAATACTTATTTAAATTAAAATATGTATAAAAATACGGGGTATTACACGGGCGATGCCCAGAGTGTTGATAAAAATTTTAGGATAAAATTTTTGGCTTGAATGTTAAATACGGTCATATAATCTTTTTGATAATGAAAAATATTTAGGCATATGATATCATATCGCTTATTTATATAATAATGTACTTTTTGTAGTTTTGTTTGTAAATAGATATCGACTCGTTGTTATTAACTTGAAATTATTTTTATGAACTTAATTATTTTTACTAAACTAAAGCTATTTTTACGAGCAAGCCCCAGTTTATAACCTTGATAAACAAATTATGTTTATCAAATGGCATTTTCGTAAATAAGTTGCATTGAAAATTGTGTTTTTTGATTAAAAAATATATATTTTTACTGTTTGTGGGCCACCATGACAAGTTGAATAGATTTTCAAAAGTTAACGCCGTTAACTCTTCGGTTGCTACTATTCATCATCTTCTTCCTCCCACCTTCTTCTTCTTCATGTTCATCTTCTTCCTCTTGTTCATATTTTTTCTTCTCACGCACCTTAATCTTCTCCCTCCAATCTCTGCCCACTTTCACCTTCTCTTTCAAGTCTGTTCGACTCCATATCCGCCGGCTTCACCAGCGAAAGTAAACGAAAACCCTAATAACAAAAGGAGAAATTAATGGCATGGTTAACCCTAAAGGGTAACTGAGCTTTCCTTCCTCTATTAAATTCGACTTCGCACCACCATAACGAAAACCCTAATAACAAAGTGAGAATAACGGGCATGGTTAACCCTAAAGGGTAGATAAGCTTTTCTCCCTTCATTGATTTCGACTTATGCGATGTCATATAGTGAAAAGATGTATTTTCCACCATTGAAATTGAAGGTTGAAAGAGGAGAGAGAAAACAACAAAAGGTTAAAGGAGGAGGGAGAAAATCAGAAACCAAAAGGTTGAAAGAGGAGAGAGAAAACAACAATTAACCAAAGTTAGATGTAATTTACATATACGCACCTTGATAAACAATTCTTGTTTATCAAGGTTATAAACTTGTATTTTCTCTATTTTTACCAAACTAAAATTATTTTTATTGATTAAAACTTTTTTTTTTATTGTTTTAGTATTACTCCGTAATTTTTAAATAAATTATATATATATATATATAAATATATAATTTGGGGGTTTTTTGCTAGTTTTTTGTTTGATTTATTTGTGAATTTTTTTATTGAGATCATGTGAGAACCAAGGTGAATAATAGGAACTAGGAACTAATCTGAGCCCTTGATTCATTTTATCAAACGGCTGTGATGTCTGCGTTTTTAACTTAGTAATGGCATTTTGGTAAATTATTGTATTATACCCAGACATATCCACCGTTCTTTTTCGCTTTCTCTCTCTTCTTCATGCTTTTTCTCTCTTCCTCCAAATTCTGTGTGATCTGAGTCGATTTTCTTGGGTTCGCTGACAGGCTAAAGTCGTATCACCTAATCAAAAGTAATTCTTAAAACCACTAACTAAAATAGATAGGGAAGTAGGGTCGAATCCATAGGGAAACTAGTCTTTCTATTCCTAATTAATTAAAATAATTTAAATTATCAAGTAACCAAATTGTTTTTAATGAGAATTAAACTAATAATTAAACTAAAGCAAATTGATTAAGGGAGGAAAACAATAATAAAAGGCCTAGGGTATAGGTTCACCAATAAATAATATTCCAGGGTAAAACACAACAATTAATCATCAATGCATCAATTAACCAGATCATAAGGGGCTTTCGCTACGTATTACAATCACAGAATTAATCTATCGGTATTAAATCGCATCTCTCGAATCTTGACTTAACCATTTATAAATTAACCTGCCTATTGAAACTAAGCCTAAACATCAATTTTCATCTCGAATCAATATTGCATAACTCATACAATTACACCTGCGCAAATCTAATTGCATAGCATTTATAACAATCAATAGGAAATTAACCCAAAACATTGACAATCAACAATAATAAATCATCTCTTCATATTATTCATGGATCCCCAAAAACCCTAGAATTACACTACTCACACATAATTAAATCTAAACTAGACAAAGCAAATAAGGTAAACATAAAAACAATAAAATAAAATAAAAGTAATAATAACGAAAAACTAAAGCATACGAATGAATTAAACAACGAAAACCAACTACTGACAAAAAGGTTAAACTAATCTAAGAAGTAAAAATAAACTACTACTAAAACTACCTACGTAACTACTGCTACTCCCTTATTCCCTTTATATAAGAAAAGTTAATGGGCAACAAATCCCCCTAACAATAAAACTAAACTAAATTATAGTAATTGTAGAGCCAATAAAACTACTCTAAAAGTCCACTAAAATAAGCTCCGTACAAAGCCAAAACAAAGCTGCCGCTGATCCGCTATCGTCCAAGAATTTGGATAGCCCAAAACAACAAAGCCCAAATAGCTGGAATAGGCGCTGATATCCGTCCGGACTGGGCCACGCCTCGCCTGATCAGGCCCGGTCAGCTGAAGCTACGAGCTGGGCTTCAATTCTGATTTAATTGTTGGGCTCTTCTCCTTTGGGCCGTAATTCCTTCTTCTCCATATTCAAGTATTGGACTACCAACAAAATTAGTATTCCAAACGAACCGAGCCCTTTATCACCGAACCAAATTTCATTAGCTCAATCTTGGGCTTCAAATATACGGTCATAAAATACGATCCGACTCCAATATGTTCGTAGAGGCTCAATAAGCTCGGGAATTAACATAAATCTGCAAATTCCTACAAAATAATATCAACTCTACAAAAACACTAGAAAACGTATATTAGTAATAAAAATAGCTCTGTAGAGTTCAAATAAGCACAAATATGACCGTGGGACGGAGAATAAAAATATATATAAAATAGATTCTCATTTGCTCACGATTTCTTCGCTTTTGTTCATCAAATTCTAGCGTGTTTCTGTTAAGGTACGCAAATTTCGATCTATAAGTATGTTGATTGCTCGCTTCAGTTTAAGTTTGCTCGATTTGGTTTCGATCAATTCGAGTTTAAATTTAGGGTTTTTGCTATTTTTAATTTTATTTGATTAATATGTGTTTTTGCATTTTATAATCAGATTAAATAGTCAAAATTTGGGGGTTTTTTGCTAGTTTTTGTTTGATTTATTTGTGAATTTTTTTGATTGTTGCATGTGCTGTAATTTTAATTGCGTTTTTTTGAACGTTTGGTGGTGTATGAGGTTGCAATACGGCAAGGGTAATTTTGTTTTGGTTGCTTGGGGAGCTGCTTTGTGGGGCTGGTTTTAGATGGAAGCACTTGGAGTGTTGCGTGGGGAGCTGCTACTTTGTTGTTGTTTTTGCCTTTTCTGATTCAGTTATGGTTTCATTATTGATTGCGATTTTATTTTTTCAATTGATTATGACTTGATTTGTTTTATTTGTTACTTTGATGTGATTGTTAGCTGCATAAAACTCTTTATGATACTTATCTTTTGATTAATTTGTGGCCAACAATGGTGTATTTATCAAACTCTAATACTACTGGAACTGTACAGGCTTGATTGGCAAAAACTATTGTTGAATTTTTCAGAGCTTCCACATGTTTATGCTTAAATGAAAGCAATTGAGGGTGACTTGGTTTGGTTTTGGTTAAATATGAGGTGAGACTGACTTGGTGCAGAAGATATATTGATCTTTATGACACGTCAGGAGGATATCGAGAAATTGGTGCAGAAGCTGGAGGATCGAGTTAGGAGCTTAGAAGAAGGTTCTGTAATGGATGCTGTGATTTATCCACTCCATGGGTCGTTGCCCCCGGAGTTACAGGTTCGTGTTTTTAGTCCTCCTCCGAGTGATTGTAGGAATTTTTATTGTTGCAACTAATATTGCTAAAACTTCTTTGACTGTTGATGGGTTTTGTATGTTATAGATTCTGGTTATGATATGCAAAGATAGTATAATCTTCAAACTGGGATGTATTCATTAGATACTGTACAGATTAGTAGAGTGCAGGCTAACCAACGATCGGGGCGTGTTGGCAGGACACGCCCCGAGAAATTTTATAGGTTATATTCATCTATTGTGTATAAAGATGATTTTATACAGAGAACCTCACTTGCATGGAGTGTCCTGTAGCTGAAGTCCTTGGACCTCCCTGGCATTGATATTCTTAAGTTTGATTTTCTGGATCCACCTTCTTATGCGTCTTTAGATGATGCGCTTAGTCAGTTGTATCTCATTGATGCAATAGATGAGAATGGAGCAATAACGAGTGTTGGGAGAACCATGGTTGAGCTTTCGTTAGAGCTTTCTTTGTCCAGGACTCTAATAGTGGCCAATGATAATAATGGAAGTTTGTCACAGGCTTTGAAAATTGCTGCCATGTTATCGACTGAAACTTCTTTGCTTCCTAGTTTTGTAATTATGCTCTTCTTATTTACTTTTGAGTATTTTTTTATTTACTTATGTGATTTTTCTAGTATAAAGAAACTAAAAACGATCGACTGTGTTAACTAAATATTCTTACTCTATAATAGCCTACTAGCTCAATATGTAGAGCATTTTGCAAGTGCATAAAAAGATGTGGGTTCGAATCCCACGTAGATTCTTATGCTTCGAACCATTGGATTGTAAATATTATATTTATATTTACTTTTGAAGTTTTTCTAATTTAATTTTGAATAAATATTATTTACTTTAAAGTTGATATTATTATATATTTACTTCAATGATATTTTGATTAACTTTTTAGTATTTACTTTAGAGTAATTATGATTTACTTTTGACATATTTTGCTCTACTTTTGATTAAACCTTTACATTGAGCTTCTTATACTTCTTTCTCATAACTTGATTCATTTTGTAAGGATATTTAAATCAATGACTCAAAAATTTTGTGCTATTTTCAAGTTTTCATAGTGTCATTACTCATTAAAAGCCAATTAATTGTTCGTATACATCAAGCTAATTTGATTTACTTTTTGGTTATTTTAATTTACTTTTGAGGTATTTTGTTATAACTTTAGAGTGTTTAATCCCTAACTTTGAAAAAAGTTCATCACTTTATTCCTAGCTTGATATACTTTCTTTTTTGTACTTATTACTTTTGAGTTACTATGATTTACTTTTAAGATGATTTGGTTTACTATTGAGGTTTTTTTTTAGTTATTTTTAGAGACAATCTATGTAGGAATCGAACCTACATCTTCTATGCATTTGCATAGTGCTCTACCATTTGAGCTAATAGGTTTTAGTATACTTGGTGCAATAATCCGAAACATAAAAATATGACACATGATTCACTGTATACTTCACAATTTATATCCCAAAGTGTATCAACTGTGTAGTTTCACAAGTTCATATTAATGTAACTGCTTCTCTTTTATTCCTATGTGTTCATATACTTCCTTGTTCATGTAAGTATAGTTTGGCTAATTCTGTCGTGGAAGAACCACAATGTTCTGAAACAAAACAGCTTGTCTGATGATGCATGATCCTTGTTACATGCAGACAGGTCTCAGGCTTGATTATACTGTAATTTTATCTTTGGACGCCTCAAAAAAAGATGCCAGTTTATAAATTAAGTAAATTGAATTTTATATTAATTGATTTGATTTACTTTTGACATATGTTCATTTACTTTTTTAGTTTTTCTACTTACTTTTGAGAGATTTTGATTTACTTTTGAGGTATTATGAATAACTTTAGAGTGTTTTGTAATTACTTTCTAAGATAACCTATGTAGGAATTGAATCTACACCTCTATGCATCCGCATAATGCTCTACCAGTTGAGCTAATAGGTTTACTTTAAAGGCTTTTTTATTCACTTCAGAGTCTTTTTTATTTACTTTTTTCACACCAAACTATTCTTCCTTACAAAATCTCCATATTGAGCAGGTGGTGGAGCTCACACATGTATGACAAGAGTTGATTTACTGCACATCTCTCAAAGCATTGAGAATTGATAGAGAAATATAATCAATGCCCAAATTTCGAGGTTTCTCCTTTGAGACTTGATAAACAAGCTTCAATGGACTGCCATCTTTACATCTGAAATTATGTAATTTGGTGGCTAAAACATTACCAATAGAGAAATTCAACAGATGATTCTTTGAAGATGTGATAAGGTTGTGTGCCTAATAGAAGGAGTAGTCAAGATATATAGAAACAACTTACTTTGAAAAGAGTATCGTTTGGATAAAGCTCTTCTAACACCCTAATAATATCTGAATCATATTGTGCAACACTTTCGAATAAGCAGTACCTTCTTTTAGTTGAAGGTACTTCAAATGCCAAGATATGTGCCTTGGTAACATCCTTAACATGTACCCAACCAAAAGTTATGTTATTAAAAGTTTTGGAACCTGCATAGCATTAAGCAAACATGTTCTTATTAATCGATGTAGTTTGAAAATATCAGCTCGCGTTGCAAAGAACAATAGCAATTTCTCACAGGGCACATACCATCAGAAAAGCTCGCTATTACAGCAGCACTCGTGCTCTTGTAATTGGTAATTAGCTTCAATATCCGGACTTTGAAGTCATGACGCATGAGTCCATTCCCCAATTCCCACCATTATTCTGTGTTATGTTAGTTGAGTAGAAGTATAGATAACAAACAGTTCATATCATGACTTGTCGCTAGCTGCAGCGGTATTATGTTATAATGGCTGCATTATAATCTAATGACAACAATGAATTTTGAATAATGTATGCACTACAAACTAATAAGATTGATCTTAATCTCTTTTCAGATTTATTTTGTACTGTTCTCTGATGAAATATACAATGTTTGGTTGACTTCAGACATGTGCTTAGATAAGTTTGTACTGCCAGAGTTACTCTGAAGTTGACATTGAGCAAGTTGGCATTGAGCTGCTAAGAGGAAATATGTATAAGCAAGTGTTGAAAAGTCTTAAGTTGAGCTTAATTTGTTAGCTAATAATAACATAGGTTCATCATTGTGTTATCTTGTATTTCTTCTTGCACCCTTCTGCTCTCTTTATATGAAATCAGTAATATGTAAGAATGTAACTGGTTTGAGGTATTGGATTTCAACAAACACAGTATAAGGTGATTAGGGTAAAAATTTCCTATGCCACGTGGCCCAATCCGAGGGTGACACGTGGCATCTTCAGAGTGGTCCATAAGGACCAATCTCCTCTAGACACGTGGCACATGCTTTCAGATCCTATAAATAGGAAGATGTTTCCCTATTGGAAACCATTCACAATTAATACAAACCAACTGAGCACACCAAGTGATTAGGGGATTTTGCTCCCACCAATCGGAATGTGCCACGTGGGCCAATCAGGTCCTGCCAAGTGTCCCCCAGTTGGACCTCTCAGGGCTTGCCACTTGGCACACGCTTATTCGTCCACCCTGGACTTATTATGTCATGACACGTGACATACTCCATGCCTAATGGAGAAGCCGGTCACCTAGGCCCAACTTCCGAGGGAAGCCCAATCAGCCCAAGGTTAACCTAAACCTAGATTGGCACGTTTCCCGAGGTTATAAATACCTCCCTTAATCCTCATTAAGGGAGATTACGCAGATTACACACATTAAACACTCTCACCTAGAGAGACCCAATCACTTTAATTTCCGCATTAATTACTCCTTAATCAAGTACTAACTTGACCGTCGGAGGCGGATCTCCAATCATCCGGAGCATCCGTTTGTTTTGCAGGTACAGGCGTCCGGTTCCAGTCTCGGAATTGTAACTCTCCCGCAGGACATCAGAAAACCCCGAAACAATTTGGCGCCGTCTGTGGGGAGAGTACTTTTGAGATGGCACCCACGTTTGTACCGGCTCCTGAAGAGAGACGTCCCCTGGACGATCCTCTAGTTCAGTCGGACCACGATACTGAGAATGAATTTGAAGTTGAAGCTCACACAGCTTCAGACGGGACCCTAAGGGCCCGACGTACCCGTCATACCGAAAGGAGGGAACGGGAACATCTTCAAACTGGAAGCGAGCCAGCAGGCGCACCGCCTGTTCGGCAGCAGCCGACTGATGGGTCTGCTCCCATCACAAGGAACGAACTCATGACCTTCATGAGGGACTTCAAGGGAGAAATTCAAGAATTGATCAACAAGAAGCCGCCTGCTCTGGACAAGGAGCAGTCGGCTAAGAAACCCTCCACTTCACGGAAGAGGAAGCCAGTTCAAGGGCGAGAGGCGACCCCTCATCCTAAATCTAGGAAGTGGGAGCCACCTGCCCTTGATTTCACAAAATACCGTTTTCCTACTCCAGGAAATAGGAAACCTGTTCGTCATATTCAGGCGGACGGGTCGAGGAAAACATACACACACGCTCGGCTACTGCTAGAGCAGAAGAAGAGTGACCGATTTTCAGAGTCGGCCTCTACTTCAAACTTCCAAGACAGTCTGCGAAATACCTCGATGAGGCATACTCAGTCGTATCATGAGGGTCAGTCAGGCGGCACCTCCCGTCAGTCCGGCTTTCATAGCGACCAGGCGGTACCAAACTTACCGTTTGTACCGCAACAACAATATTTTTTACAGCCACCTCCGTTTGGTGGACATGCAGCAAAAAATGTCCAACATATGGACTGACAGCTACGGTTGCTTAGACTTGGTGAACAGCCGTCGGCCTTCTCCAAGGAAATTACTGAAGCCGCTCAGCCGACCAAAGTGAAAAATGTATTAGTAGGCGCCTATGACGGCACTACTAACCCAGAAGACCATCTGATGGCATTCACCAACCTGATGTACCTTCAAGGGTTGGATGATCCCACTTGGTGCAAGTGTTTCCCAGCGACTCTCAAAGGAATCGCACAACAATGGTTCGGCAACCTGCCGACTGGTTGTGTAAATAACTTCAAGACGCTTGCTTACTTATTCACCTCCAACTTCTCCATGAACATCCCTGCGAAGAAGACGACCCTTGATTTAGGAACAATTCAGCAGGGCGAGAAGGAGGGGCTTCGTTCTTACATCAGGCGATTTAACCTGATGAGAATACAGATTCAAGGGTTACCGGATGAAGTAGCCTAACTGACTTTTTCAGAGGTCTCAAAGACGGGTCGACCTTCAAATTTGATTTGGTCCGAAAGAGGGTGGCGACTCTTCAAGAGGCCTTGATTGAAGCGGAAGCCTATATACAGGCGACTGATATTTGTAGTACGGTAAAACAGTCAGACGGGAAAAGGTCCGACAAAAGAGAAGGACGACAGAAGCAGTCGTCAAACAAAGACGAGAAGAGAAAAGAGGTATGGGCAACTGATTCCTCTAAACAGCCGTCCCAGAAGAAGAAAAAATAATTCAAACCATACTCCCCAAAGTATGTGTTTAACAAGGATAGCCAATGTATCCTAAAGGAAATCAAGGGACGGATCTCAATTGAGAAGCCGGTCCCCATGAAGGGTTCTGCAAACAATCGGAACCAAGAAAAATTCAGTGATTATCATGAAGATGTTGGTCATCACACCAATGAATGCATCACTCTCATGCGGTATCTGGACCGCCTGGCTGAGCAAGGTGACCTTGACACTTATGTCAAGAAATCTACGGGGAACACTTCCTCGAAAAAGCAGTCGACCAAAAAGAATCAACAGGCCGACAACTCCGATACAGATGATGCAGTCGTCTACACCATTGCAGGCGGCTTCTCAGGAGGCGGCCCCACTATTAGGGGCAACAAAGACAATATCAGACGGTTAGATGTAAATTCCGTTCACCAAGAACGACCCTCTAAATATTCATTTCCTGAGATTGTCATCACTGAAGAAGATCTAGGAGGGGTAAGAGGGCCGCATGACGACCCTATCGTTATTGAATGTAAAGTGGCCAACCAGAGAGTTGGCCGAATCCTCATAGATACCGGAAGCTCCTCAGATCTCATCAGTAGCAAATGTCTGTCGAAACTAAAATATCAGACTGATTGCATACATCCGGCATCCCACCCTTTAGTAGGGTTTGGAGGAGGAGTCGTCCACCCAGTGGGACGAGTGGATTTACCCATCCGCCTGGGCGAAAAAGGGGAAGGACGACACATGGTAGTTCGGTTCCTGGTAGTAGAAGAGCTCTCGGCCTACAACATGATTCTGGGACGACCAACCCTGAATAATTCCAAGGCTGTTATAATCCCATCTCTTATGTTGCTCAAGTTTGAGAGAGATAATGGAACAGTCGGGTCCCTAAGGGGAGATCAGAGGATGGCCCGAGAGTGCTATCTCTCGGATGTCAAGCCCACTGTTATGGCCACTATGTCGAGCGGTGGAAAAATAGACCTTGACAATGTCAAGGAGAGTGCGCCTGTTCAAGAAGCAGGCGGCAAGAAGAGAAAGGCATCCCAGACAGGGGCCGCAAGAAAAGACAGAAAATAGCAATCATTGGCAGAGGAGCGGTCGGATGAATTCCGCCCTCAGCCAGCTGGTGAGCATACGGACCTGATCTTAGATGACTTGCGTCCTGACAGAACAATCAAGGTTGGGACGACTGCTCTAAGGGACCTGGGTGACGACTTTCACAAACTATTGAAAGAATACAAGGACATCTTTGCATTCGAAGTCCATGAAATGCTTGGCATTAGTCCTGATCTGGCGGTACATAAACTGGTCGTGGATCCGAAAAAGAAGCCGGTACGGCAGAAGAAGCGGAACCATGGCGAAGAAAGAAGTCAGGCGGCAGCCGCCGAAGTTAAAAAATTACTTGATGCAGGGTTCATTCGGCAATGTTACTTCCCAGACTGGGTTGCAAATGTGGTGCTTGTTAAAAAGCCGAATGGCACCTGGCGAATGTGTGTAGACTACACAGACTTAAACAAGGCGTGCCCCAAAGACAGTTACCCTCTGCCTAAAATTGATAACCTAGTCGACTCAACAGCCGGCCATGCTTTGATGAGCTTTATGGACGCCTACTCTGGTTTCCATCAAATTCCTTTATGGAAGAAAGATCAGGAGAAGACGGCCTTCGTCACTGATCAGGGGTTATACTGTTACACGGTCATGCCGTTTGGTCTTAAGAATGCCCCGGCCACTTTCCAGCGAATGATAAACACTGTGTTCTTTGATCAGATTGGGAGAAATGTCGAGGCATATATTGATGATATGATTGTCAAGTCTAAACTTCAGAGAGATCATCTGTCGGACCTCCGAGAAACTTTCGCCACACTCAGGCGGCACCATGTCATGCTCAATCCCAGGAAATGTTTCTTTGGAGTTGAGTCTGGGAAATTTCTCGGATTCCTTATCAATCAGAGAGGAATAAAGGCGAACCCTGAGAAGGTGCAGGCGGTCATCGACATGCAGTCGCCTCGTACCATCCGAGAGGTTCAGAAGTTAACAGGTTGTCTGGCGGCCTTGGGAAGATTTCTAAGCCGATCAGGCGACAAATGCATATACTTTTTCCAGGCA